CTTGCCGCAGCAGCTACGCTGCTGCGTTGCTGCAGCAGCTACGCTGCTGCGTTGCTGCAACAGCTACGCTGCTGCGTTGCTGCAGCAGCTACACTGCTGCGTTGCTGCTGCTAGCTCGAGCAGATACAAACTCAGAGGCACGCGCCATCAGCCGTGCAGCACTTGTACACCCCAAGAGCATCTAAGAGCAGAGAAAGTCTGTATACAGCTGCTGTCTGTATATACACACAAGTAACATATATTCATATCAAAGGTGTACGCAATGCGATACACTACAGAAAACGCCGCTGTCTCTGCTGCTTCCCTCTGCTGCAGCAAGGACCCTTGCATCGGCCTGGGTTCGCTCCCTAGGCATCACGCCGCGCCGCTTGCAACACAAGGAACACAAACTGCTTCAAAATTCACATCAGGGTTGATGCTGCAAGGGTTTAGGGTTTAGGGTTTAGGGTTTACTAGAATGCTGGAAACCCCCACTTCCCTTCGTCGTTGCAGCGGGGGCTCCTGCTGAAAATACTACTACTGCTGCTGCTGCTGTTGTTGCTGCTGTTGAGTTCGTCTGCTGCTGGGGAGGAAGGACTCGCTGCTCTTGCTGCTGCTGCTGCTGCTGCTGCTGCTGCTGCTTCTGCTGCTGCAAGGATCGGATTCGGGGGCCATCAGCAGCTGTTTTAAACTGCTGGGCCCCTCTATACATTTCCAGCTTTCCTCGTCTTAAGCGATCGCCGGAAATTGAATGAACAATTACAAAACAACTAATCACTAAAGAAACGAGAAACGACGTAAAGCCCCTCTTGCTGGACTTGTAGAAAAAACCGAAACCCCTTACATTCTCAACTTCGGCATCCTCCACCCTCTCTCCTTTCTGATGTTTCTCTGCTGCTGCCTGCTAATAAATACATGTATTCTGTTTGTTTCACGATGATAAAGATAAACTATCTGTATTCGGAATTGTATTACAGATAGATAGATGCAGCTGCTGCTTGCAGCCGCCAAAGAAAGCTGAAATGGATTTCCTTATTCAACAGAAAATATCTATATCATTCCGAGTTGAAACGATGCTGATCTCTTTGCTCTTTTTCTTTATATTTCTGTTCTTGCATTCTCTCTTTCTGCTTTTGTATAAGCTTTATTTGTTTTCCTTTTTTTATTTCTCTTTCTGACTCTGAGCTCGATGCACCTTCGCTCAAGGAAAGCAAGCTGAGGAAGCCAGTCTAAGAAAACCAAATTCGTGTTGTGTTCAAATATACAAATTCAAATATTTTTTCTCGTTTTATATTCAAGTATACATAATAGTTAAACGCTCCATATTCTCGTGCTATAATAATTTTTCTCCTCCTCTCTACTCTCTCTGCGTCAGCTGTTTTTCTTTTGGATTTTCTTCTTTTTTCTCGTTTCATCATTTGCTATTCATCTTTTTTCGCGTTTCGTCAGTTGCCGTTCTTTGTCCGTTATTATTTCTTATCGTTTCACGAGTTGCTGTTTCTTTTTGTTTGCGATGCATCAGTTTTTTTTTCTTCTCTTTTCACTTGTTGTTTTCCTTCGTTTGTCTCAACGACCGGCTGATACCGCAGAGCTATTGAATTGAGCTCTAGGGCAACCCGTTTCATCTTTGATGCTAAGACTATCAGTTCTTGCAGGCTTCCTATTAGTGGCGCTTCTTCTTTGTTCATGTTTACTTGCTCTAGCAGCCCCTTAAACCGCGCGCTTTCCTGCACAGGCAGGCGGATATTCCAGAGTCGTTTCGGGCGCTGGTGTTCTGTTTCTGTTGCTGCTGCTGTTGCTGCTGCTCCCACTGCTGCTGCTGCGCTTTCGGCCAGACTTACACTGAGCTGCATATCAGCTTCTAACGCCTCTAAGAGACGCCGCCGCAGCTGCAGCCTCTCTGCTTCTTCGCTGAGCGCCTCAGTTCTCATAGCTGCACTTCTTGCCTTGGATAGAACAGCCGCAGCATCCCCGTCCGTGCTACTCCTGTCTCTGATGGATTCTCCTACGGCGACGATATGCTGACGCAAAGCGACCTCCTGCTGCTTCACCTGTTGCAGCTGAGATGCCAGCAACTTCCCTACAAACGGACTGGAACAAGAAGGGGTTTCTCCTGGCCCGGTGCCTTGCTGCTGCTGCTGCTGCTGCCGCTGCCGCTGCTCCTCGTTCCCTGCAGCAGCGTTATTCACGTCTAGAGAAGAAAGGGTATTCGCAATTGCATCAACTGTTGCTGCTGCCTCTTCACGGGTCTTGTATGCCATCAACCGCATGCGCCTCTGCACCGATTCGTTCCTAGCAGCGTCTTCTACTTCTGCAATGCCGGGGATAGATTCCATGCGGCTTGC